GTGATAGTTTAATAGGAATCGTGGCAGAGAGATAGAAGGTAAACAAGAGTAACAAAAGTAAAAGCAGGGCGAGCTGAGAACTCCAATACTTCGAGGCATCTGACCTGCGTCTCTCCGACGCCATTAAAATGTGGGTTGTAGAGTGGAGCGGGCTGTTTTTTTTTGTCAATCGATGGTTTAGTGCGAGTCGGTTTCCTTCGTGCCACGTTTCTCTGATGTTATGACAAGAGATAGTGATAGGGGATGAGAGGACACAGAAATGGGGTTATGAAAAGTGGAATAAAGTCATGATAGAGAAAAAATTGTCATTGGTTGGCATAAAAATAAGAATTGCTGGAAAAGAGCGGAGAGAAACAAGAAAGCAGGATCCCGCGCTCTTGTTTAATTTCTTTATGTCATGAGCTTGGCAAATTTCTAAAAATTTCTTAGATTGAATATACTGTATTCTCTCTAATAGAAGCTGACCTTACACATGCAGTTTCGACGCAATTATCTCGGTTTTTGCCACAGAAGTAAAATAGTGATCAACTGATAAAATATACTCGGTTCCAATAAAAGATATCAAAAATTTCGTCAAGTAATGCATTATAGTGCAAATACGGTAACTCTTTTTTTTGTGTTCGAATGTTGTCTAAAAATTAAGAATTTTGCTGAAAACCAAATTTATTTTTTTTACACTCCAGAATCATAGAAAAATTATAAAAGAGATTGTTCTGACGTACAGCGGCGAGCTTCCTCCACTTGGTCATGTAGTTCTTCATTGATTGGAGCCTCCTGTGGATTGTCGAATTCAGTTTGACCATTTTTCGAATTCCTGTTCAACCGCTTCTTGGTGGACAACTGGTTGGTACAGCGACGAGCTTCCTCCACTTAACCATTTTGTTCTTCATTGATTGGAGCCTCCTGTGGATTGTCGAATTCAGTTTGACCATTTTTCGAATCCCTGCTTAACCGCTTCTTGGTAGTCAACTGGTTGGACGTCTTGTTCTTCACCCAGTTGATTGTCTGGTTCAAATGAAAGATCCTCTGTGATAGCAATTTGTCGATCTGCCACTTCTTCATCCACTCGCTCCTCATCGTTATTTTCTTCTGCACCTTTGTCTTCCAGAAAGGAAGGGAAGTTGAATAGGTTAGAACATTTCAGAAGTTGAAAGATATAATAGTTAATATGATACTCAGGAAAATCAGAAAATAATATACTTCCGACGGCCACACAGAAGGCTGTTTGGAAGCATATTGGGGAAGAGGTAATGAATACTAATGCTAGGTGTCTGGGGTATTTATAGGGAACCTCGAGGGGGCGGAGTCAAGACCAGGTGGGCTGTCTTTACATATTGGTATTTATGGCAGTAGTACTTGATTCTTATGACAGTATTTTGCTGGTCTCTTATCAATAAGTATTCATATGGGCATTGTGGGGGTGAAGACAGGTCTAGGAGGGGTTGTACTAACGGTAGCATTCCACTTAATGACCGCATTTACAATTCTGTAGAGGATAATCGCTTCTCAAAGGGAATATATACTGGACAAGGTTCGTGTTATTAGAAGGGCATCCCACACGCTCTCTTTGAGCTCAATTATCTCGGTTTTTTCAAAAGTTATCAAAAAGTTTTCAACTAATAAATTATTTATCATAATATTACCAACATTTTATCTGTTGACAGAGTTTTGTTATCCCTCACGAGAATCAAAATAACTGTGGAAAACTTGAAATTGAAATTCTTGAAAGGATTCAATAATGTCAAACAATTCACATCTACAGTATTTTGTCAAATATGAGCCCACTCAAACCGTCAACTTCACGGTCAATTATCTCGATTCCTAGAAAAGATATCAAAAATTTGATAACTAATAAATTTCTTAACATAATTTCACCAATATTTTATCAGTTGGCAAAATATTGATATGTTTGAAAACAACCGAGATAATTGAGCTTACAGAGAACATATAAGGTGAGCTTAGATCAGAGAAAACAGGTAATTTTCAACGATGAGAGTGGATGTGAAACCAGAAAATGTCTATCATATTTCCTCTAATAGAATCTCATCCAAAACGTCAACCTTGAGCTCAATTATCTCGATTTCTGTGATAGCTATTAAAAAAATGGAAAACTGATAAAATATTTTTTATAATATCACCAATGTTTTATCAGTTGGAAGTTTTTTGATATCTTTCACTGGAATCGAGATAATTGAGCTCAAATTTGCCGCTTCTGGTGGTCTTCTATTAAAGGAAATACGGTATATACATGATTTTAAGACACGTTCTCTGTAGAACTCAACTTCAGGACTACATATTATCCACTGTACAGAAAAATTCAAACTTGTTTTTTCTGGGTGATTTTTCATATATTGCATGTTTATGAACTTCTAAGGTATAAAATGACCGACCTGAAAAAATTTCCATTATTTTATAAAATTAAACATGAAATTCAGATTCTACATTAAACAATACATTAGAAACTGTTTTGAAATAAAAAATAAATCTGACCATATCTTTTATTGGAACCGAGTATATTTTATCAGTTGATCACTATTTTACTTCTGTGGCAAAAACCGAGATAATTGCGTCGAAACTGCATGTGTAAGGTCAGCTTCTATTAGAGAGAATACAGTATATTCAATCTAAGAAATTTTTAGAAATTTGCCAAGCTCATGACATAAAGAAATTAAACAAGAGCGCGGGATCCTGCTTTCTTGTTTCTCTCCGCTCTTTTCCAGCAATTCTTATTTTTATGCCAACCAATGACAATTTTTTCTCTATCATGACTTTATTCCACTTTTCATAACCCCATTTCTGTGTCCTCTCATCCCTATCACTATCTCTTGTCATAACATCAGAGAAACGTGGCACGAAGGAAACCGACTCGCACTAAACCATCGATTGACAAAAAAAAACAGCCCGCTCCACTCTACAACCCACATTTTAATGGCGTCGGAGAGACGCAGGTCAGATGCCTCGAAGTATTGGAGTTCTCAGCTCGCCCTGCTTTTACTGTTGTTACTCTTGTTTACCTTCTATCTCTCTGCCACGATTCCTATTAAACTATCACGTTTTCAGAATGCCTAAAGGAAGAAAGGCTAGGAAATCTTCCAAGAGAGCAACAATCAAAACGGAGAAAAAACAAAAAACCGTGGACGGAGTCGAAGAGGTAGTTTCTAGCGCTGGACGGAAAACTTCAAACCACTGAAAAGGATATCAGCATGGCCAGCTTTCCTCACGTGGATGTTCAGCTTCCATCCACAAAGGAACATAGCAGAAGCCGTCATTCAGCAGAACATATCTTCTAGATGGGTGGTCGATTGGGATGAATTCATTCCATCTGAAACCATAGGGTTCATGGTTTGGTTTTTCAAGAATAAAACAGAAGAGCTTTGTGACTATTTACAAGACAGTGAGTCATTTTAAACACTTTCCTTGAAAATGTTGAAAATCGCAGAGCGCCCTGACATGTTTGTCAACACGGCATTGAACACGCATCCAGATATAATGTTCTTTCTCATGGAATGTTTTAATTGGAAACTAATTCCATTCAATAAGATCTACATCTGTGTTTATAAAAAACTTACCACAATCGAATTTTGGAACAAGGCTGTCTTTGTGGACTTACCACATGGAAGTGATGATTTTCATGGATTTCAACTAAACGTGTTACCATTTGTTATATGTTTTAAAGAAGCCCGAGTTTTCAGTATCGGTGTTAAATTAGTCGGTAAGGAGAAGAATGATGAGTGTCAGTCAAAGTTTTTTTTTTCGTTTCAGACGAAGCACGTCCATTCTGCCTACGCGAACAACATCACTACTACAAAGAAAGAATCCACGATGACTTGAATCTTGTGGTTCTATTAGATCTAGAGATTCGTTACCCATGCGTTGACGTTCGTTACGATTTTGATGAGATGAAAAGAGAGGAATACTATGAAAAGCGGGATTTCAAGAATGCAGAGTGTAGTCGGTGTGGATGGGACAACTCATGGGTTTTCTGGAATCGTGAAATCACAGATGGCAGTTTTGGTGGGCCTGCCATTGTGCCGGAATAAAAATTGTAGTTCAATTTTTCCCATGTTTCTCGAATCGTTGACTCCAGTGAATCAAAATTTTCTCTATTTTCTTTATAAATGTTAAAAATCGCTTAATATCAAATCTAATCGCTTAATCTTAATAAATCGCTTGATTCATGATTGACCCACTTTTTCGAAAATGAATTGTTCTTTTTACAGAATGGGAGACAGACACTCGTCAGTGTTATCAATAACAAATCGAATTATATAATGATTTTTGATACGTAAAAAATGCACAAATGATAAGGAGAAGAGTTCGCGCTGTCACATATTTGGGAAAAAAAAACGTTGTCAGAGGGTTTAATTTGACTAGAAAAAAAAACTTGATAGCCGTTTTTTTTCAAACCGTGAATGAATAAAACCTTCTCCTATTAAACAAAATTACCATCAAGTCTCTAACAGAAGGCCATCACATACTTGCTCTTTGAGCTCATATATCTCGGTTTCTGTAATAGAAATCAAATAGTGGTCAACAAACAAAATTTTAACGATTTTATGTTAAACAGTTTGCCAGTTGACTACTTCGCGGTATATTTTACAGAAATGGAGATAAATTGGCTTGAAGTTCACAGTGAGAAAGCCTTTCTATACGAGACCGCTATACTCCCGCTTCACAATTAATTATCTCGATTCCTGTAAGATATATCTAAAAGTCGTCAACTGACGAAATATTTGTCATAATATAATTAACATTTTATCAGTTGACCATTTTTTATTTTTCTCACAGGAACCGAGATATATGGGCTCAAATTGTCAACACGATCGTTCTTGAAAACTTATTTAAAAAAGTGAAGGGTGTCAGTTGTTCCAGGCCACTTGGTTCTTTTATTTCTTATCGAGAAGTAATCTCCGAATTCCGAGATATTTTTCTTCTAATTTTTTTTTAAATTTTAAATCTTTTAAAATTTCCATTCCTTCTCCATAAATGGGTTTATCAAGATGTGTCCTCTCTTTTCTCCTAATGTCTTCATAAGGCCAACCAATCAGCCTTAATTCTATTTTCTTATTTTTCCAGTCTCTATTTTTTTTTATGAACCCATTTCTTTGCCCTCTCATCTTTCCGGGCACTATCTCCTGTGAGAACATCACAGAAGGTGCAGGAGGGGAAACCAACACGCACTAGAACATCGATTGGCAGAAAAAAAAACAGCGCCACTCGACAACCCCACATTTATATGGCTTCAAAGAGACGCAGATTGTTGGAACTATCGGAGTCCTCGGCTCGCACTTCGCTTGCTTTTGTTTTCCTTTTTCTTTAGCACATCTCGATATTTTATTTTTGTTATTTTCAGAATGGCCAGGCCCAAAAAGACTGTAAAACCTGTTAAAAAGGCTAGAAACACCAAACGTGATCAAATTGTGTACTCGGAATACACTGGACGTCCACGTCGAGCATGCAAGGAGGAAAGATTGGATGGTCGAGTGAAGGCGTTTTCAAAAAGAAGCGGAGAATCCCTTGATGTGGTAGTTGTTCAAACCAAACGGAAAAGGTTTCGACGAATGAAGAGAGAACCTGCATGGCCATTTTTTCTAACAATGCTCCACGCGTTCCCCAACGATGATATATCCAAATATGCAGTTTATTTCAATTCAATCAATAATTGGGCGGTGCAATACCCATACCCAGTTTGGGTTGAGACCTTTCGTTGGATAAATATACGCCTTGAGGATCGGAAAAATGAGATTGAACGCTACTTGCAAGACAGTGAGTTTTTCAATTTTTTCAATTCCTTCAACTTACAGTACGGGACAATGAGAAATACACAAACGTATTTTCCCCTCAATTTTTGCTTTTTCATCAATTTTAACTTTTTCGCCAATTTTAACTTTTTCAAAGTGACCGGAAGCTTGACAGCCATCTCTAGAATTCAGAGAATGGTCAAAATTTCCAAAATCGATTGAAAAAAAAAATTTTTTTTGAAAAAATTAAAAAAAAAGTTTTCGTATTTATTATAGACCGGTACTGTGAGCCTAAAATTCCAGAGCGCCCAGATATGTTTGTGAACACACCGATCAACAAGCAACCAGACATCATGTTGAAATTCATGGAACTTTTCAACTGGAAATTGATCCCATTCCACAAGTTCTACATTTACATTCGTGAGGATATTACCACTATTCAGTTGTGGAATAAAGCTGTGTTTGTGGAGTTCCCAATTGGAACAAATGATCTCAGTGGGATCTTGAAGCAATTGACCCCATTCATTGCATGTCTTTATGAAGCAAGAGTGTTCAGTATTGGTGTGAAGATCTTCGGTAAAATGAAATTCTAAATTCGACTTCTAAATTGTTTTTTGTTGCAGGAAGCGCAAAGGAATTGATGAAAAGATTTAAAAACTATCTCAACAAAGACAAAAAATTTGAACGTGATCCTGTCAAATATGCATGTAGTGATATTCGATACAATTTCGATGAAATCGGAAGAGAGAAGTTCTACGAGACTCGTGATTTCAAGAGAGCTGAGAAGGGGCAGGACAAGGATACTGATAAATGGATTTTCTATAAGCGTGCCATCGATGATGAGGATTTTGGAGTTCCAATTGTTCTTGATTAAGATTTTTGTCACAAGTTTTCTGCTATAGTTATAAATCTCCAATTCTTCATCTCAATTTTTTTTTGAGTTTTCCCTGTAGTCCTTTCTAATGGGATGCTTTTCAATGTAACGTGAATCCTCTGATAGAAGACCCAGAAAACTGTCAAATTTAAGCTCAATTATTTCAATTGCTGTGAAAGACATAAAAAACTGTCAACTGACAAAATGTTAACTATAAAATTTCAAAAATTTTTCAGTTGACCATTTTTTGATGTCTTTTACAGGAATTGAGATAATTGATCTTCAAATTAACAGTTTGGGTGGGTCAAGAGTAAACATGATTTTTTGGTTATGATTATATTCTTCCAGTTTTATATTGCTTTTCACGCTTCTGATTATTTTCTGAACTTTCACAAAATTTCTTCTAATTTAAATTTTTTGTCAAAAAAATGTACTGAAGTCACAATATATCTGTCAAAAAAACGATTTTCAAAGCTTTTTGTTTTTATGTCATTTAGTTTCAATCAACGATCTGAAATGCAGTTTCTTTTTTGGAAACTTTAGTTTTTTCCTAATACACGGAAGAAAGAGAGCATTCGAGGAAATAGAATACGAAGTACTTCTCTTCCCCCCAAACCCATAAAAAGATATTCAGCGCGCCGCCCGAAAATTCTTATAGCAACGCCATAAATGATTTCCCCTCGATAATATTTTTGATTTGAATGAGAGAAAAAAAAGCAATTCGATTTTTTGCGCAACAAAGAGGGATTAACCTGCTGCGATGCTGATGAAATCTCACCCAAAAAATTTGGATTGAATTGCATAATACAAATATTTTAATCTCTAATAGATTAAAAAAATATCACAGTTTGTAGAAATTGTTTGTTTAGAAGTTTTTTACAGATTTGAATTTCAGAGACTATTTGAATTTATTTATTCTCAGAATCAATTTTTTTTCATTGCATACAAACACATTTACATACAATAGACACCATTTAATTATGCTGAATGTGGTCGGAGTGGCAAAATGACAACAATATCATGTTTCATCTCGATTTCTGGCACCACCTTGTCAACTTCCTTGTTGTTATTGTTATTGGTAATCTAAACGTCACAAAATGATCTTGTTGTTATCTTGTTCTTTAGATACCTCGAGTATTGATGAAACCTTAATCTGGTCCGTTTTCGCATCTACCGATTCTGGAGACGTTGTATCAATGTCAGTAATTCCGGTTGACGGGGAAGACATTGCGAGATCGGTGGAGACTGTCGATGTGGTTGATTCAGGAGCTTCTGATATAAGGTTATTATAGTTGAAAAACTTTGGACGACGTTTACCTTTCTTCCGCCAGAATGGAATTAGTGGGGCATCAAGAAGTACAAATTTTGGGGAACCTGTAAACACTTATAATATGAAAACTTTGGCTCTTTATGATTTAACGGGGGTTTAAATTTTTGACGGGGGTTTAAATAAAATTTGAAAAATAAACGGGGGTTTTGAAAATTTGAAAGGGTTTTGAGAATTAACGGGGGTTTAAATATTAGACGGGGGTTTTCAAAAAGTGTCAGGATAATGTTTGGGGAAGTCCCCAAAATGTTCCAAAGTGCTACAGTTTCTTGTTTTTTGCTCATTTCAGTTTATTTATTCTTTTCTGAAATCATTTTCTTGTTTTTTTCTTTTTTCATTTCTAAAGTTTCATGGCACTGTTCTAGAATTACGGAACGAAAAAAACTTTATCCAAGCCTATCATCTAACCTTGGAAGCAGCTACAGGAGACTTAGAAAGGGAAGGGCGATCAAATAGTTGCTTTTAGAGAGGTTGAATGGTGTTGACGAGTCAAGTGATCCGGGAAAGGTACATTTGTATTTTGGATTCGAGGTTAGAACTAGCAGAGTTATGTAACTTGCCACTAATTTTCCAATGACTTAGATGAAGGAAATATGGCGTTTCAGCCTAAGCCTATAATCTACGAAGGTTTCCTAGTGTCAAAATTTTTCTACCCATTTTTTAATGTGATTTTCATTCGTTCCGCAATTCTAAAACAGTGCCATAAAACTTTAGAAATGAAAAAAAAAAAAAAAAAGATTTCAGAAAAGAATAGATCAACTGAAATGAGCAAAAAACAAGAAACTGTAGCACTTTGGAACATTTTGGGGACTTTCCCAACCATGACTCTGACACCTTCTGAAAACCCCCGTTTATTATTTAAACCCCCGTTAATTCCCAAAACCCCTTCAAATATTCATAACCCCCGTTAATTTTTTAAGCCCCCGTCAAAAATTTGAACCCCCGTTAATATTTTAAACCCCTGTTAATTGTTTAAACCCCCGTTAAATCATAAAGAGCCAAAACTTTGAGAAGAACCCCTGTTTTTTCTTGGTCACAGTCGAAAAAATCAAAAATTAAATTACTGATTACTTGAGCACTTTTAGTTGAGCGGCACTTGTTAATTTTTGCAATCGAGAATGATATAACAGAACGTTATCTACACCTTAAGCTCAATCATCTCGATTCCTGTGACTAGTACCAAAAAGTTGTCAACTGATAGAATATTTGTGATATTTTTTTCAGTTGCTAGATTGTTGTTATCTCTTAAGAAAATTGTAATAATTGAGCTCAAAGTACGAGGTGAGTTTCTTTTAGAGTTCTTACGGTTATTGGGACAAATAAGCTTCGAGATCTGACAGTTTGTTGAGATATGTTTTTCGAAATTTTTAACTGGCAAAAGTGTCATTACAGTAGTCCACATTATTCCATGAAGTTATTAAGAAAGGTTTACCAGTATCCGAGAAGTGGACTGGCATGATTTCTCCAGAAACGCTCTGAGATGGTAACAGTGATCCATTAAAAGTGACTCGATAGGTATCATCAAACGGGAACATTGACCGAGCCATCTGAAACAGGAAAATTCATTTTCTACATTCAAATATTTAACTTTACAACATTTTTTGAAGCCTTAACACTAAGATATAGGTCAAAAGTTCTCCTAATTGGACGCATGTGAAAAAGTGAGAAATCCGAAGGAAAATGTGCGAAAACAATGACTAGTTTCAAAAACGAGTCTGAGGCGTTAAAAGAAAGACAACTAGCACCATTTTTCATGCACTAATTTCAGCTAATTTCCCGCTCAAAGATGTTTTACTTCGTCGGTTTTCTTATGCAGCTCGCGAATTTTTTTTTCAGTTTTTTCTCTTCATGTGCTCTCTGACAGAGAGAAAAACGGATGATGATGTGGGAGCACATTGCACGGGGGGAGCAAAAATTTATGCAATGAGGTTTATTTATAGGTATTATGGAGATAGAAGAACAGAAGAGTGAAGATGGAAAGGAAGCTGGGAGGGGGAATGGTGGGAGGGATCGAGATAAAAATAAATAAATAAAATGTAAGTGAAAGGAAAATAACACACAGGATGGCTGTGTGTTGGCTACAAAAATAATAGAGGGGTTGAGAAAGACCAACGTGTACTTTGAAAAAAAAATAATTTTCAACGAACGTACCTCCTCTGCCAAGAAGCGCAAAAATTCCGAACACCTTTTCTTTTTAGATGAAACACATGATTTCAACACGTCACCAAAACAACTCATCACCTTCATTTCAAGAAATTGTACTTTTTCCAAAACTTTCTGATACTGATAAGATGTGACAAAGAATGACACAATTCTGCGTTTTTTCAACGGGAAACAAAAAAAACGAGGAAATGTTCTGACCTTTTGTTAGGCAAAGAACACAAAACTGTTAACGGTTGTAACACTTTCTTATTGTTGCAATCCATTTTACTTTAAAAATAGGAAGAAACTAGGAAAGAGAAATGGTGAAACCCATTGTTTAGATTTGTCGGACTGCGTCTGATAGCGTGACTCCAAAAATCAATTTTTTCATTTATTTTCCGATTAGCAATAAACTACTATATGCGTAGTTTTTTCTTTTGTTTTGCATTACCTTACAAGTTTCCTTGATTAAAAAAAAAGAAACGATAAGGAAAAGTAGGAGTGGAATTTATATCACTGATTTTGAAATTCTATTGTATTATAAAAAATGAGAATTTTGTGAATTTTGAAATGTAAACTGGTCGAGGAGCAATCAGAAAAACATTTATCCTGGAAAAAAGATCAAAATGTATCATAGTTGTACAGTTGAGCATGTGATGAAATCTGGTAAAAATTGTATTTTGAATTTCAAAACTTCCTAACTATAAAGAATTGTGAGGAATTCTGAAATATTGACAAAAATAAAAGTTTCCAATTTAGGGTTTCAACAAAATTCGACTGTGAGGAGATCATTGTATCTGGCACCTTAGAGTGGCACCATCTACTTGTACTTTGAGCTCAATTGTATCGGTTCATATGAGTTCGATCAAAAAAGTGTTAATAGATTAAATTGTTGGCGATATTATGACAAATATGTCATTAGTTGACAGATTTTTGTTAACTCACATAGCAATTGATATAATTGATCTCAAAATGCAAGTACAGACTTGTCTCTGAGTCCTGTTCAAGAAATGGACATTACGGATTGTCTGAAAAAAATGTGTATCGATATAAGAGGACCCGTTTATAACTAAAATTGGTACCTTAAAAATTGCTGATAATGGCTCAAGCTCACCAAAACCGTCAACATTTGCCCTCAATTATCTTAATTTCTGTAAGAGTTAAGAAAAATGTGTCAACTAGTAAACTAGTTGTCTTAATATCACCGACATCAGTCGACAAATTTTGAATACTAGTCACGGAAATTGCGATAATTGAGCTCAAAGAGCCAAAAGAAGGTGTCGTATTTGAGTATTTACGATACCTGAGTTTCGTTCAAGAAATTGAAATCATAGACACTCCGGGAAAACTTGCAATCAATTTGATAGAATACCTTTACAGCTGAAATTGATATTCTAAAAATGACTGGTGTCCAAAGAATCAGAAAATTGAATCCCAACGATTCACATCCGCAGTATTCCCTTTGAGAGAAGCTCACCTAAGCCGTAATTTTGAGCTCAATTATTTCGATTCCTGTGACAGATATCACAAAGTGATCAACTTTCAAAATTTTATCATAATATCACCAATATTTTGCCAGTTGACATATTTTTGGTACAAATCACAGGAATCAAGATAATTGTGCTCAAAGCGCGAACACGAGGTGCCGTATTTGAGTACTTACGGTATATGAGTATTGTTCAAGAGAAGAATCAGTTCAAATTTTTAAATCAATTTCAAAGAATCCTTCCTAACTGAAATTGACTGTCTGAAAATTGCTGTGTTCGAAGAATTTCAACATTAAATTCGTTAGAGAACTTTTAATCCAGAATGAAACCAAATGTCGAAAATTTGCGGATAGCGTGATTAGCGATAATTTGCCTTCATTCTGGTTTTGTTTCCCTGCTACTCAATTATCAAATGAAATTTTCCATTATTTTGACACATCCCCAAAATCTTGACTCTCGAATTTTTCTTTTTTTTTCTTTCGTATGTTTTACTTACAAAAAATGTAACACTCCTCCCATTGAACAGGTGCAACTGTATTCTTTTGGAGGACCCTCCATTTGTCGGCATTGTCTTGTCTGCTCTTTGATATTCCACCACCCTACGATTTCCGCTCTTTGTCATGTTACCGCCCTCTTTAATCCATAAAGTTGCGTAAGTTATGAATTACGCGTCAAGAGTAAAATTTGTTGAGATGTGGCTGCTGTATGAAATGAAACATTTTCTCTTCTCGAACCACAACTAAAAAACGAAACAAAGAAAAATGGGTTGGAAGGAGAAGCTGTAGGGATGGGTTCTTCCATTCTCACGTTCATTTTATTTTTTTTTCTGTTCTTGTTGTCTTCGCTTTTCCTCCTCTTCGTGTTCGCCCTTTTCTTCTCATACATCCTTTCTTGTTTTTTTTTCTTGCCATCCCTCTCCACCCCGTTTTGTTATGGTGATGGAATTTTTCGGGGGGTCACACACAAAGAACTACATATTCTTGAATGTTTAGATTAATGGACGGGGTGGTGGTGTCGTCGTTGCACTGAATTACTCGATCTGTCACTCAACGCATTTTTTTAAATCGTATAGAGTTCTCGAAGAAACGGATTCGTCATATTCTCATTTGTCATTTTATGTGGCCATCGCGAGCTGCTCACTTCTATCCATAAGGATTTCAAGAAGCAGAAAAAACCATGAAAAAAAGACAACTGCTAAAACTAAGCGAATCTATGTAAACCGGTTGAGACGTATATAAAAAATCATGCCCGATTGTTCTCCACACCAACACATCAGAATTTGAGAGGTTTTGTCAGTTTCACCTCTCAACCCCAACCACCATCATTTTTTCAACTTTTTTTGCGCATTTTTGAATATGTTTCGACAAACAAAAACGTTTTTTTGACAAATTTTAGTACCTTGGGAAAAAATTGCAACGTGAGTTTCTCTAAGAAATTTGTTATCCTTATTGATGACATATTTCCTTTGGCAAATCTCATAATAATTTTGTCATCAAAACTGATTACAATCTAAAGTAATCATAAAATCTACAGTAACCCATATTGGCTAAACTGCTCTAAAAACTGCCAAATATATGAAGAAGACAGAAAGCTTTTTGTTTTTGTCATTCGTATTTTTTTCGCCAAACCAGCAACGTTACTGTATTTCATGGCTCACAGCCACACAAAAGAACATTTTTGTTGTGTTTTAATTGAGTATAATTTTTTTCGATATATACCGCTTCTCCTCTGATAAATGCCCATCAAAATTGTCAACTTAATTATCTCAATTCTTGCAAAAGAAATCAAAATTTTATCAACTGATAAATAATTTATCATAACATCACTAATATTTCATTAGTTTAAAAATTTCAAAATCATTCACAGGAACTGAAATGATTGAGCTCAAAGTTAACAATTTAGGTAGGCTACTATGAGAAGAAGTACGGTATCTCTCTAAACTTATTCGGTTTGGTCATTTTTAAATTTTTTCTGATGAGCAAGATTGTTGTGTTTCTATGACTGACAGCCGAAAATGTCAGGGATTTTCTAATTAAAAAGCATTTTTGAGAATCACTGAAAGTTTCAAATAGTTCCACTACTGAAACGTCCACTAAAAACTCCAACGATTTTTTTCCCAGTAAATGTTTCTGTTTCAGCCTCCTTATTATTCTTCGAAAAGAATTACAACGGCGACTGTCAATCTCCCCTAATCCTCTTTTCCCTGCCATTTGACTCTTGTTTAGACCCCCTGCAGATGTTGCAACCCCTATTATCCACATCATAAAAATCACAAAAGGTGTCATTCAACCTCCATGAAGATGTATTAAAATACTTATATTATGAGAGGTATTGTATTCTTCTGATACTGTCTTTTTTTTTCTTGTGTTCACGTGGTCCACATTCATGCAACTTTGTCGTTGTCTTGTTTGTACTCTTTACGTAACTAGTGTCCATAGAATCAACAGCGGTTCCTTTTTTCCAAGTCAATATGATAAATGTCTGCAATACGAAGTTGTGAGAAACTGGGTACTATGTTGTCATGTTGCATTTTCACTCCACTCGCTGTATGATCGTCGGTTAAAAAATTCGGTTTTTACGATTTTTCTAATATCTTATCACTTAAATCTTATCATTTGAACGTTAGCGTTCTCTTCCATAAAACGATCCTTTTTTATTGTTTTCTTAGCGTCGATTTACTTTTTTGATCCATGAATCTATTAGACTCTATCAAAACCTCTCAACAGCTGTTGAAATCTTTTCTTGCCGAGAAAAAAACCTGTGTAAATGAAAAGGATAGATCAGATCGGATGAGAAGAGAATTTCTTTTCTTTGCGATTTTATTGGGATTCCTCAGAATGATAATCTTAAAAGTGCAACGCGACAGATGGGTTCCATTAAAACAGCCAATTGTGTCCTACGGCCTAGAATGGTTGAACTTTATCAGCTGTGGTGTTGAAATCGAAAAAGGACATGAGGTGTACTGTAGCTATATGGGTATTAATGTTTTGGAGAGGAATTCCGTCGTGATGGTGGTCTTTTAAAACTATCTATAGGGCAGGTAATGATTTATGACGTTGAGAGAACCGGCAAGCGTTCTTAAAATTATTTTTTACGGCGTAATTCCTCTTGTAAATGACAGACAACCTAGCAGACTTGTCCAACCGTAAGGATCGGTTGGCCGGACCACTAAAACGGTTTCAAATAGCCATCTGGTATCATTTTCCGGTTTTATTGCTTGCCTAGGCTCAATTTTTTAGTAGATCTCGTTTTTTCTTATTGCAGAATTCTCTCATTAACGTTTCCGCCTCATGTCGTCCTGTTTTCTAGTATGAGCTTTTTTCAGTTCAATTAAGACGTGGATTACTGTATTTTTGGTGTTTTAATTTTTCAAAAAATCTTGATGCCATCTGTCGGACGTGCACTATTACATTCTATGCATATTTTCAGGAGTTTTATATTTGATCTACCTCTAAATAGTTGTGATCTGTCTCATAAGGAGACAGTATTGTATTCTCTTCCTTATTTATTTCAATGATCAGAACCCCTCATTTTCGGGACTGAGAAATTATATTTCATACCACTTCATACTTTTTGTATACCATTTCATCATTTCAAACGTATACCATATTTTCTTTGATATCATATTATTTCCATGTTGTTTTCTGTAGATACTGTAAAGTCTACTGTAGATTTTCATAGTAGTTTTTCCTAATCTTTCTTGTATGATAGTATAGTCACAGGGGAAATATTCAAAATAAGAGTTACCGTAAACGCTCTGTTATAGTGATCCTCTCCAGCTTTTAACTTTGAGCTGATATATCTCGCTTCCTGTGAAAGATATTAAAAATTAGTCAACTCATGAAACATTTTTGTTATTGTAATGTTAACTTTATCAGTTGACTATTTTTTTTTTGATATCGCTCAAAAAAAGCGAGATAAGTTGGCTCAAAGTAGACGGTGTGGCGGCATTCTATTTTACGGCAATTCTCAATTTTTTGAGTGGGTAACTTTCAAAATTAGATTTTTTTCTTTAAGTAAAAAATAAGATACATAAAATCATCATTATAATTCGCAGAAAATGAAATAGTTGGTTAGCTGAAAAAAATTTAATGAAATTAAAATTAAATTTTTCGAAAATCTAGACACTCTTTTATTCCTAGCATACCTTTAGACTTATTGCACCTAGTCATGTAATGTAAAATTTCCAAAACTCCTTACTCCCACTACACCTGGAGTCTTTTCACCATTCCTTACCCACACTCCAATTACCAAAGAGGTGTTATTTCACACCTTAACACATAATGTTGTTTGAAGTACCTCTGCTCGAGTGGACCAAGCACCACTGGACCACCATCTCAAAACTAGCACTAGGCTGCCGTTCCTTCCGTCGTCTTCTATTCTTTATTTGCCTGATTTCTATCTTACTGTAGCTGCATACACGCAACAGGCGTAATTGCTCACTTGCGTCATGTTTCTCGTGGTGAGAGCGCAATCAAAATCCTAATCTGTATGTATGTGTATTCTCCTCCAACCATCATTTTCACCTTCTGCTTTTCTTCAGTAATTGTTGATGATGAATCTCAGAGGAAAAGTTCTAGAGTTTCTTCTGTAAGTGTTAGTTGCACCAAATGAACAATTTTCAAATTTTGAAATAGTTTTTCATTTTTTTTTCCAAAAACATATTTTGTGGAAAAAATTTTTCCATACATCCATCTAGAAACTCATTCGTTTCTCTTTTTTCTTTTTACCATCTTCCCCAATTTTTTTCAAATTGCTCGCTGTCTTCAATCTCTCTTTTTTTCCCTCCACTTGTTCCCTCCCCTTTTTACTAGAGCTCCGCCTTCTCATCCTTCCTCCCCACCTCGCTCTCCACACAGATACCATCTAATGCTAGGGCCGCCCATCTTCTAGCTTTACATCATAATTTCGGTTTTGCTGTCTAATCTGAACATCTCATTAAATTCCAAAACAGTTTTCCGGTCTACCAAAAAGTGTTCCTTGTTTTTAATTGACCATCATCATTGACCACCATTACCTATCATCACTCAACTGCTATATTGTTTCTCACCTTCTTACTTAGCACCTATTTTTCAATTCTCGTATCTAGTTTGATTCTTCAGATGAGCTACGAGTGTATGGAGTACCCAACGATGGGTGGTACCGACACGCCTTTATCCATTTGCACATCAACTCCAGCATACTACAGCCCCACTAACAAAGGAATGCCACAATCGGATCAGCAGCCACACACGTCGAATGCTCAGTGGACGACGACGCACAGTCAGAACAACATGGTTAGTGAGCGTCATTGAATTAATTCTAAATCTCTTATAAGTCCTAATGTCGTCGCTTCTCTCTAAGAATAAATTTTTGATGGATTTCTGAAAACAAAAAACGTGGCTGGAATTATAATCTTATAGATAAATCGAATTGAAATCTTTTCAGCCATACATCAAGGAAGAATTCCCGTCAGAGTATCGAATCTCAACTGGATCATCTGCACGGGCCCAGACTGCAAATTACGTAGATTCGGGAGCACCAAACGGACGCTTCTTCAACAACGTCAACGGCTACAACGCTCAACATCATCATCAGCAGCAGCAGTTCTTTGAATCCAGAGCAAGTGTGAGCTCGCCGGCGACAAGTGGTAAGAATAGGGGAAGAAAAGAGATCTATTTCTATCTTATCCGGTGCTCTTTCCTAGATAAGACGCTCTCTTTTCGATATCATTGCATCAAGGTGTGTGGTGACAAGTGTCACAGCATTTTTTCAATCCAAGAACATGTGTCTCAAAAATGTTGCAGAAAACTTTTTTTGTCACACACTCCACTCTCACACCATCTCATCGTTGCGTTTAATTGATGAGATAGAGATTTTTGAGAGCCCCCATCAAATCTCCTCGTCGTGAGAGGTGTTACGTAAGACTAAAAGTGTAAAACCCAAAGAAAAACACAGTGCACATTTATCTTTTTTATTCTAACAACGAAATCTCCATCCACGTAGTACACATCTTAAGGCGGCTTTGACGACGATTGCGCAATAATCTCCGCATTCCGTCATTCTTTAGAGAGGTCCGTTGAATCCCCCTTCTCTTCGCATTTGATGTATGGTTTGGATCGTAAAAGAATGCCGAAGAGTGGAAAGAGGAGAAGGCGGGAGGCCTGCCAGCAGGTATTGTAATAAAAGAAGCAGAGGGTGGTGGAGAGAAGAAGAAGACGTGCCAGAATACGACGACCATATGACGTGTGGATTAACAGAGAGAAAAAGGGGACCATCGAGAACTGTAGGCAAATAGAATGACGTCATTTTCTGATAGCATTGGGCAAACACGGGGAGAAGAGTGCCAGTGATACTTGAATCGAGGAGTGGAGAACTTTCATAAATTCAGAACCACATTTTCAGCGTCCCTCTCCAACTCGTCTCTGTCCCCAGAGTCTATCAGCAGCGGACCTGTTGTTGTCAATCCTCGACACCACCATATCACCAAAGTGACCACCTACTGCCGCATCTGTGGTGACAAAGCCAGTGGTTACCATTATGGAGTGACATCATGCGAAGGATGCAAGGTGAGCATAATGGAATTTATTGGAAACCTCAGGTGGTAAATCCTTCTTGTTCTTGTATGGAACCCCTATATTTACGATGTGTAGGAGAAAGAGCACTGTTGCGCAATGTGTGTTGCTATGCATTAGGTGGTGGGGACCCACTTGTCTATTGTGTGAATGTTTGGAGGCGTACTAACATGAATGATGATGGAATAGGAGAAGAGGGAGAGTGAGAGAGCCTTAGCAAACATACAGTGAGATATAATGACGGTTAATAATTCATGGGTTGATGGGAGAGAGAGAGAGGGAAGGAGAAAAATGACTGAGGTAGGGAGGATTACAGTATGGTGTAGGGAAGAGTTGACTATGGTAATAGGGGGATATTGACATTTCGAGTTTTGTGGTCATGATGATTTTATTATCATCTCTTGGAGGCAAGCTTGCAACTGGGGTAGTTTTTCTAGTCAAACTATGTTATCACCATAACCTGAATCACTTAAAAAACCTCAATTTTTCGCCAGTACATAACTTGGTAACCTAGATTCTTGATTTGAACGGCAACGTGCTCATCTTTTGAGCAACATCCCCAGCATATGACTGTATATCCCTGAATACCGAAGTTCATGATGTACAGAACCGATCAATAAGATACACAAAAACGTATTTTTCCTTTGATTATCGTTCATTTTGACAACTTTCAAGATTCTGGAGCGTGGGTGCTTTCAAACACTTTAAAAACTTTAGAGGGTGTAAAACAGACCTAATTGAAAAATTGTCTTTTACAGAATTTTGTTAAAATTCTAAAATGTTGAGCTATTTGCCGATTTCTGAAAAACACCTCTTTTGTCCCGTTTTTGTACTGACAACTTGAAAAAACAGGTTTATTTCGAAAATCGTCAGATAGCTGAAAAGCTGAAAATTTTCGAAAATTCTGCGAATGCAAACTTTCCTATCTACGTCAGTTTCACACATTTCAAAATTATTTTTAATTGATCGGAAACACGATAATCGAGTTCCAAACTTCTAAAAATAGTTAAAATGACCAAAAATGAACTGAAAATATAGGTTTTTCCATATATAATGGACCGGTACTGTATGTGCAACTTTCCCAACTCATGACTACTGTATCTCCCTGAATACCCAAGTTCACGATGTCTCTATTTTAAACTTCCTCCTATTCAAATTGAAATTCGTCGACTCAACTCCCCCATCCCAATTTTGTAGTCCCATTTCAAAAAAAAAAACAACATAAAACACCGAATTTCTCTCCGCAAAAAAACGACTCGAAACAAAGGCAGTTTATTCCTTGTCGGCTTCCCGTACTCTTGCCTTCTTCTGAGCCCCACACACATGTTTTACCACGAATTTTTTAGGGATTCTTCCGTCGGAGCATACAGCGAAAGATTGATTACCGGTGTTTGAAACAGCAATTCTGCGAAATCCGCCGTGACAGCCGCAACCGATGTCAGTACTGTCGATTCAAAAAGTGTCTTGACGCCGGGATGTCGAAAGATTGTGAGTTTAGGGATGGGGCAAAACAGCTGACACGTTTACACAAGAGATAATTTATAGCTATCCAGATATCAACTCAATTCTTTTTTCCAGCAGTTCGTCAAACCAAGAGAAACAAACCGCCAACTTCTGATAGAACAGTATCATCCACTGTCAATGTGGAGCCGGATGACCACATCATTTGCGCTGATCGTATTATTGATCTCCATTTGAAAACTTGCAACTATACGTCACAAAAAGTGGCGACGATGATGAGAAAGCCGTTCAACTTGGTAAGCTCCTATCTAAATTTGTCCGTCATCTGCAACTCTCAAATTTTCAGGCTCTTGGACCAGACCACGACACAAACCGACTCAACGCCTGGAAAGTGTTTGGTCATAATATCGAAATGGAGGTTCAAAATGCCATCTACTTTGTGCGCGACATTCCACGCACGGAATTTGTCTCCGGTGATGACAAGGCTGCGCTTCTTAAGAAGAACATTTTTGGAATCTACCTCTGTAGAATCTTCCGGTCCTTGTCAGAAGAAGGAATGGTTATGCATGATGGTCGCGTTACCAATGTGCCAACTCTTCGTCTGCTTTTTGGATGCCTAGCCGACGAGATGATTCAATTTGCGGTTTACTGCCGCAACATCGGAGTCTCTGACGCTGATATGGCGATCCTGGCTGCTCTCGTCTTGGTTCAACCAGCCGGTCTGGATTATAGACAGGACGTGCAGAACAAGGGTCCCCCAGGGCTCGCACAACTCATCCAATTCTTCCAAAACATGATGCACAAGAAGCTATGCAGCCATCCGAATGGATATGACATTGTTTTCAATTTCCACAAACTCGTTCCCGCCTTGAACGGAATTAGTGAGTTATTACAGACCTTGAATTTGAGTTTAACCTGAAAATTTTGCAGATAACATGCTCGATGAAGCCTTTGTCAAATTTCTTCGAGATCACAAAGAATCGTTGAGCCTTCCTGCTCTTTTCCTTGAAGTCTTCAGATTGAATGAGCGTCCACAACAATCTCCAGTCTACTATAACCAGGAGGTAAAGATTAGAAATTTGGTGGAACATCTTCTGAAGTGTCTCAATTTTCAGAACCAATATGTTGTGCCACAAGACTGCAGAATGGCTTCTGGTGACCAACAGGAGCAATTGATGGTTGTTCCAAAACCTGAGATTTAGGATTGCGAAACAAATTTCAAAATATATCTCCATATTTTTCCGATATATCCATTCCGTTGATTGATTCCAACTCTCTCCCTTTCTCTCTTGCTTTAATTAAAAAATTTAACATGTTTCATATTTTTCCCGCTTCCCCGTTGTCTTATCTCCCTTGTATGACTGTGTCAGTACTTCTCTTGCGCGTAAACTCCAATATAATCCAGCATTATTTTTTTTTACAAATTCACTACTATGGCTCCAAACTTCTCTTTTTCTCTCTTCTATCTTATCTATTTAGCTTTGTAGTTCTATTCAACTGGTTTTCTGAAATCTAAAAATTCTAAAATGTTTCATATGCTTGCTTATAATATCTCAAAAATGCCTTCATTTCATAATATGCACAGTTTAACGTTTTCTTTTTAGAATCAACAGTAATTTACTGACATAACAGACAAGACATGGCCATGACAAAATATGGACAGAAAGAAAAATTCGGTGAGGTTTTAAGAGACAACCCGGGATTGGTATATCTCAACCAATATATTAGCTAGTTTTTAAATTCCATATGTTGGATCCTTGGTGTGGTCTTGGATTGGCTCGTGGTGTACCGGTGGCAAGTTCTGTTGAGGTGGTTGTTGCTGTAACAAAAAACAGTTGTTACACAATTTTTAATATTAGGGTTTGCTCTACCTGTTGCACAGGTGGTTGCGCATTGTGGACAGGTAGTGGTGGTGGAGCGTGTGCGTTGACTGGTTGGATGGGCTGAGCTGGGTGGACCTGTTGCTGCAAATCACTCATTTTGTAATTATTATACAATGTAATGACTCACCTGCGGTGGTTGTTGGGCGGCTTGTGGATGGAGTTGTTCTGAAGCAACTTGTTGTGAATCATACGCATGTTCTCCCCATCCTAGTTAAATAATAAAGAATCTAAGTAAGGCATTTAGTCAGAAAACGGAAATGTTCAGGCAAGCGAAAGTTAGTCAGGAACTTAAAGAAAGGTTTGTTAGCGAAGAAATGACAGAAATGCCTTCTAAACCCCCTTACCTTGTTGAGCTGCATACTCTTTCTCAAATTTCTGAAGCTCCTCATCAGTGTACACCTTTTTCTGTCCGAGGTCCTCCCACGCCTCTTCCTGCTTAGGTGGGTTTGCATTCTGCGAGTCGGCATCATTCAAAAATTCTTGCATCGAAATCATACGATCTTGATTCACATCGATTTGCTTCATGACATGTTCTCGCATACGGTACATTTCCTCAGCGCGCTCCTTCATATCATCATCTGGGTTGGTTTCGTTGTACATCTTTTCGAGCTCCAGTTGGAAAAGTGACTCTAGCTCAAAGTCATTCCAGAAACCATCTCCGTTGAGATCGTGAAGAGCGAAGAAGGTTTTTGGGTCGTATTGGTCTTTTTCGAGCTGAAATAAAGTGCATATTTTTGAGAAATATATTCAGTTAGAAAGAAGTCTTTTTGTATTGACTGGAAATTTAAAAATAACATTCATTTTCGAAATTTTTTGAATCGATACTTTCAAGCGTTTTTCGATAAAATGATGTCATGTAATAATTGAGTTTAGACTTCACAAAATCTAAAAAAAACCCAAATTTGTCAAGACAAAATTCGTCAAACAAAGTCGCCCTCAGTTGACCTAAATACAGCTGTATTTGTTTCAATATTGCTACTTTTTTATCAAAAAAAAAGTTGTTCCGAAGACCTCATGAAATCCTATGAGTTTGGTATTTTTTTTTAAATGAACAGATATAAAAAATCATGTACAGCCCCTGTCAATGAGGCATACCAAAAACGTAATTTTTAGTTGATTTTGTATCTTTTCGACCGTTTTCTGGAGTCTAGAGTTCGGCTGTCTAGTTTCCAATCACTTTGAAAATGTTGGAGGGTGTAAAACAGATCTAGATCAAAAACTTTGCACTAACAGAATTTTTGGAATGTTCCTAGTTTCTCAGCTATTTGCTTTCTGGAAGACACTTAGTTTTTGACCCGTTTGAGAACAAAAAACGTAAAAAAAAACAGACATCTTTCAGAAATCAGCAAATAGCTGGAAAACAAGAAATTTTGAAAAATTCTTTGATTGCAAAGTTTTCAATCTAGATCTTAAAGTTTTATAAATGGTCGAAACTTTGACAGTCGAGCTCCAGACTCCTGCAAACGGTCAAAATAACCAGCCATCAATTGAAAAATACTTTTGTATATCTGTTTGACCGGCACTGTAGCTAACTAAACAACGTCTTTCAAAATTGAAGGTTTTCTGTCAAAACATTTTTTCTATGAATTTCGAATTTCTTGAGAAACACTTTTCACAAAGTCACTCGAGGATAACCCCAATTAACCTGGGTCATATAGGGCACAGCTGCATTTGTTCCAATTTTCCACTTTTTCGGTTTTTTGAAAATCTCAAAAAAAACCTTTTTTCCGAAATGCAAATCCATTTGGTCAAAAATTCCCGTGATTAATATTGCTTTATCCGAACTGAAGACATTTTTATCCCAAGCTTTAAATTCTAATACCGATGTTTTTCTTTCAATGTTCTCATACAAATAACATTTCTTTGTTTCTTGATCCACCACCGCCCAGGCTAATCCCTCCCCTATCATCCTTACATGATCAGTTTCCTCCCAAACTTCTTGTAGTTGATCCTTGCTTCCCGGATGTTTCAGCTTCTCGTGGTCATTGTGCCGCTTCTCAGCTTCCTCATGTTCGCGTTTTGCCTTCTCTCGCTCCTCTGGACTCATTTGAGCCAACTTGTGATCCTCCTCCGCTTGCTTCTTCATCTCGTACTGCTTGAAGTCTTCCTTTCTCTGATCATCCATCTTGTTCATATCGGCCACTGTCTTCTGAATCAGCTTTCTCAAATCCTCCTTGTGGAATTTCTCTAGCTCTTGAACGTCAAGATGATCAGGCATCTGCACGTTATGGGCTCCACCGTCGGCCTGAAAATATTGAACAGTTGGCTTGAAAATCTGGGCGGTTTACCTTAATCTGCTCCTCAATCTGCTTTCTTAATCTCTCAATCTCCTCAAATTTAGCTCTGTGTAGCTTGTCGAACACTTCTTGTGGGAGATCGTCGATGTGGTCAGCGATTTTTCCCGCCTAAAATCTTTAAAATGTATTTTTCTTTTCAAAAATTTCTCGATTACCTTGATATCCTCCTCATTCATGTTCTTCAGTCTCTCATTGAACTTTGGGTCCGTCTCCAGAATCTTGACAACCTCTTCCAAATATTTGGTGTAGGCAAATTGATAACTCTGAAAAATAGATGTGTTAATTGTCGTTTTTCTTTAAAAATGAATCTTACTGGATGGCGTCCATCATATTCGTTCTTTTCGATTTCCACAGGCGCTCCTTCTTGTGTCTGTGCGCCTGGTTGCTAAAAAAACAAAATATTTAAATAAAAACATTAAAACTCACCGGAGTAGAATTGTCGTGTGCTTGTGCTTGCTCCGCCTGTTGTCTCATAGGTGGAGGACACACAATTCCATTGATAAGGAACACCCCAAGTATAAATAGAGGCTTAATCATCTCCTGAAAATCTCAACTTATCGATTTTTAGCAAAAGTTTGATCAGAAATCGTGTTAAAGTGATTCTAAAAAACCAGAAAAAAATCAGAAAAAAAATTAGAATTGAAAAATTCGGCGAAATGACCTAATTATCAGTGATAACTTGCATGAAACCATATAAAGCAATGGACACGTCACCTCTCCCGTAAATCGACACTGCTAAACAATGCGCGCGGAGTGTCGTAGTGGGTTTCTTTTCTGTCTGGTACCCTCCTCTCATTATACACACACACCACTCGGCACACATCACCGAACACAACGACTAAGCATTAGCAACCTCCCCTCCTAGATGTTCGGTCTCGGGAAGAAGAAGATGACGATGATGATAACTCTTTGGGAAAACTGAATGGGTCAGCAAATAGTAGAAGAGTTTAGGGAAAACGGAGAGAAAAAAAGGGATAATGATGAAACAGCAAAAATGTTTTGTTTCAAATATATAACTTCACATTACCTGTCAAAAAAATGCTGATAGCAATAGTTTCAGTCTTCCAATGTTCTTTTGTTTCAGTTTTTTTTGCTTGTTTCAGTGTTGAAAACGTAATATATTGTATAATTCAGTGTTCTCTATCATTGGAACTTTATTTTTAGCCTAAGAACACAAGTACAAACTCCATTCTCTCTGACAGCTTCATCGTCAAACATCACTCTTGTTTATGTTTGAAAAAATATGCATATGTCGTCTTAGATGTTATGCCAATTGAATACTAAACCGACATATAATACCTCACCAGTGATCTATTTTAATTCTTTTCCATCACCGAGATATCATAGGGCCCCCTCAAGATATAATCATGTTTCATTCCCGAGTCACATGAGTGTTCTTATCAGATGCAAAAAAGAAGAGAATGTTTGTGTGTGGTGCAATGTTTTGAGGTGTTTGACTTGCGTTTAGTTCCCTTTTATTGTAAGTTAGTGTACTGGTAAATAGGTGTTACAGTTTTTTGTGACAGTTTTTGGTCAGTAATAGGTTTTGTGATAGGACCAAAACACTGCTGAAACGCCCGAAAATACCATGATTACTCTGATAGAAGGCAGCCCTATACTTGCAGTTTGAGCCAATTTATCTCGGTCCTGAAAAAAATATCAAAACGTAATCAACTGATAAAATGTTTGCAACACTATAATAAAAATTTTGTCAGTGAAAATTTTGTCAGCACTACTTGATATTTGTTAGAGGAACCGAGATACATTGGCTCAAGGTGCAAGTATAGGGCGGCCTTCTATTAGAGTGTTTACGGTGTGTACTTTTGTTTTGAAAAATCTTACTTTCAAACACACTAGTTTTATGTGAAGAATAGAGTGGCCTAACTTTCCCAACATGATTTTTCTAGACCACCTTAGTTGATGGTCCAGAAGTGGCATAACATCGAACAGCTGTAGTTTCTATACCAAACATCATGGTGGCCCTACTTTTGCAAGTTAAGCTTTTTAGGCTACCATTGTAAATCACTCAAAAGTATCATGATATTCACCCGGTATGTTATCTGGGCCATTTAAACAAGGTGGCCTACCTTTTGAAAGTTGAGTTTTGATCAATCTTCAAAAAATTTTCCTTAGAAAAGTGTTACACAATTTTTAGAGATAAATTTCATCAGGTGCCGAGAAATCGAAAATTGAAAATCGAAAACATTTCTGGATAATTTGATAATTTATTGATCAGAAGAAAATATGGCTGGCACAAAAGTTATAACGGGAGTTCTAGATAAAATCCCTCACGAGATGAACCTAGAGAATGGGGAAGAAAATGGTAAACATTTAAGGTTGGCAAGATATTTAAAAAAAAAGGGGAAAAGGTAAGCAGAAAACTAAAACCGGGTGATGGAAGATTGGAGCAATGATTTTTCGTGAATTCAAAATCTATGAATTTTTTTTCCCTAAATTCCAATTTTTGGGAAATTCTCTTCAAATTTGTGCCATTCGGTGCTAGGCACCTGAAAATCATTGTTATTCAAAACGTATTCTGCAATTCTCTCAGGAATATATAATTTATGCTTTTTTACTGCCAATCAGCAAAATGTGAGCTCGAAATTTTCTAAGAACATGTTTTGAAAACAACGAACTTTTGTTCTTCGTTTTAAGCCAAATCCTCGTGTGAATTCATTAGTTCCTGTTTATGAACTTGCTTCTGAAAGTCGTTACAATATTTTGAAATATTGTTATCAAAAACATTTTTTTCTTTTTTTTTTAGTCATTGGATGTTCCTCTCTAATGAATTCACGGGTTCCTGTTACGCCTTGATCTTTTCTTTGTCATCAGAAAGAGTTATTGCTCAGTTTCTTTCTCCGTATCGTGTTGTGACAAGTGTTCTAGTCTCCGGAACGCAATTTAAACTGCAAACAAGGTCAGTTGTAGTGTTTCCTGTCTAAACAGCTCATATGATACAATACGACTACTAGATACAATATTTTAATGAAGTAAGATTTCACAATACTTTTTTTCTTTTTTTGATCAGAATACTGGGACGGTGTCCTTGAATAGCTTAGCGTTCTTCCGTAGTTGATCAGAACACTACAAGTGTTGTTTACGAGACGTTTTCCTCTTCTTCATCTTGATTCTCCTCCTGTCTACCATAACCCTATTTATCTGGTGTTTTGAAGTTTCATACCTCTCCGAGAAGAGGTTCATCGGCGTCTCCCACCGTCGTCCGATAATTTTCTTCCACCTGTATCTTCCTAAAAAATAACCGGTTCTTTTTTCTCGCCGCTCTCTGTGTGTCCGTCCCAGAGTTGAATCGGTCGGCACGCTCTCTAAAATAGTGTGCCTGGCGGTGAGAGAAACGTCTTTTTTCGGAGAGAGAGATTCTCGGCAAACGTCAACCGTCCGTCGCGCACTCTCTCTACCACCTGTACGTGAAACGCAGCAAAAAAATGAAGAAAAGAAGCAGAGAATGGCAGTTTTTTTTCCAAATTGTTCCATCCGATATTTTCTCTCTTACCTCCCTCACCGTCTCCCATTTTTTGTTTCGCTTTCAACCTGCGCTGGTTTCGAAAAAGCACTCAAAGAGTGTCGGTGCCATCCCGTTCCTTATTTAACCCGACGTGATGATTTTTGGAAATGTTTCGCAACATTTTGAAACTTTTCGTATTTCTTCTCTTCCAGATTCTTCTAAACTACTGTGACTCAAGCGAATGAAGTGAGCATGTTGCCTGGAAATGGATACCCACCCGAGTATGGGGATTTCGGTAAGTGGTTATTTCTTAATGGGTAGCTTATAAGGCAGTTGGAGGAAATTAGCAGGTAATTATCATGGCGATAAGAGGGAGGGTGAGAGTGTTATCCGATTTTTGAGAAGTTGAGGGATGGGATCACTGTTGGTTTTGAAAATGTTGCGCGGTGATAAAAACTTAAGCAATTGTTCGTGACATTGGTCCGTTGATACATCGTTCTGAGGCATTGGGGACGATACATTTTCTGCTTTTCTCATTTTTTGGAACTCATCAAAAAATTTATGAGATGTCTTTTCTGATGTGTTATATTTTTTCTTACTCAATTTCTACTTAATAATTATATTTATCTGTGTTCTGTGAAATATAATTAATACTACATGACTATGTTTCTAAAACATATTTGAATTGAGCTGGGCCAGGCTTGGCTTTTCTTCGCCTTGGGTTCCAGAGTTTTTTCCTGCGTTGGCCTGATTTTTCAAGTGTGGTTGGAAACTATTTCTCTTTTCTTGATAAACTTTTAAAAAGTTCCTTGCTTTGAAAAAAGTCAACAGAGGTTTATTTACGTTCGATTGATTGCAAATGATCAAAAATCACTTTCACAGTAGGATCAGTGTTGTGAAGATGAACTGATGAAATTGAAATTCAGGAGAAAAAATTCCAAGAGAAATAATTGAAAACGAAATAAAATGAAATATTACAAATACAGCTACTTTTTATAAATCCCGATCGACACTCTATTAGTGTCCCATATCAAAAAGCAGTCAACTGAAAAATGTTTACTATTAAATCGAAAATATTCTGCAAGTTTTTACCTTTTGATATCTCTTACAGGAAACAAGATAAATTCACTCAAAGAAGAAAGTTAAGGGTTTCATTCTATAAGTGTGTTTTCGGCACTCAGAGTCTCGTAACCAAGAGATTTAGAAATCTATTCAGTTACGGTTCCCTGTACGTTTTTCAATAGTTTCACAAATTTCACTTCTCAAAACTGGAAGAAAAATTAATTGGAAACCCAAAGAATGAGGTCTGATCTTACCTACTTATTATGTTTTCATATTTTATTTTATTTTTCTCTCAGGTCTATTCTCTAAAGACTACAACTACCTCGACAAAAAGTGCAAAATAGATTTTCTCTATCTAAAATAAAACAAACCGACTTTAGAAATATATCGCTTTTCCATTTTCCCAGACTAGTTTAGAGTCTAGATTCATGTCCCTACACACGCGCCCTAGATAACTTTAAGGCCAGATGAAATTTTATTACTTCCAATGAGACGTAGATTTAACACGTGTATCTTACATCATCGCATGCTTTTTTCATATGTCGTTGTACATTTGATACTCAGCCAACGAAAATAAAAAAAATCAGAAACGGAACCTCACATTCATTTGTGTTTTTATGACAATGGGTTCTGGAAAATTGTGCCTATACTCATCTCGAAGGCACTATTGGAGCCCACGGTTCTGTTTTCTCGTTTAAAACCAGCGTGATGCCTGGAAAGTTCACGAATGTAATTTTAGAACTGAAATAGTTGCCCTATTTCAGCGCTAAAAGGGGACAACCCATAAAATCTCACCCATCTGGCACGATCTCGCATTCTTTAATACTTCAACCAAGATAGTGCGATGTCTACTATACGATTTCTTGCCAGCCAGCTGATCCAATATTTTTCACATTTTTCAAATCTTCGATTCAAGAAAATCGGATTGAAAATTCCTAGAATTCTCCGCCCAAAATCTTTATAGCTTATTTTTCGAAAACTATACAAATTTGAGAAACAAATTGGTTTTTAG